AAATTACAACTTAAAATTGTAAAATTACAAATTGAAATTGTAAAATTAAAAATCGAAATTGTAAAATTACAGTCACCATGAATCGACTTGAAATTCATTATGATGACCAAGAATGGGCTTCTTGACTGCAAATACAAAATATGTTGTAAATTTTCGAAAATATTTTTCACATAGTTTACTCGTGTGGTAGTGCACTTACTTGTTTCAAGAAAATACACTTGATTTCAAGTAACTGCTTTTTGCGGTGAAATTTTGTCTTACATAGTTCATCATTATGTCGGATACTTTTTTTATGTAACATTTCATAACCTTTACGTCTTCGTCTTTCTGGGTGCTCTGGACTGTCTCACATGAACCCTTTTTGAATTTGAAGAAGAAGAAGAAGTCGGAACAGCACGGTCGTCGGGTCGGGCGGGTTTGGGCGGCTGCGGTCGTGGGTGACTCCACACACATAGAGAAGCGCTAATGGTCCGTCCGCGGCGCGAACCCCAAACGAGCCCCGAAAAATGAGGATCGAATAATGTCCCGGGTGACGCGGGGTCGGGGGTGGGGGGCGTGCCGCGGGGTGGAGTCGGAGGGTCGGCCGCCCCGCCCCGAGCGGCGCGCGGCGTCAAACGTCGCGAAAGAGGAAATTTCCCACTTCGGCGGTCAGGCACGTGCCTGTCACGTGACCAAAGCACGCGTGCGGCGGCGCTGGGCGGGGCGGGGCACGCCCCCCCCCCCTCCCCAGGGGTAAATGACTATATTAAGTTTCATTGCCCTCTTTGAATATTGGTTTTCATCCCAGTCGTCGCCGTGTCTGCCGCCGCCATCCTCGGCCTCCAACGAGGACGTCATGTGGATGGGGTTCATGTCGACGGCAGAGAACCACGTCGGTGTACGGGGAAACCAAAGGCACGATAAAACGGGCGTGCAAAGCAGAGTGCTTCAACCTCGGCTACGTGATGTAGGGCAGCGAAATAAGAGCTTTGTTGTACATTTTAGGGAAAAGCAGGTTTAATGTCAGCGGTCCGGCAGACAGGGACTGCGGCGGGATGTCGTTGTCGGGCGGGGGCGGGGGGGGGGGAGAAGGGTTGACGACGTCAACAAGCCGTATTCAGTCAGCTGGCGGCAGCGAACCCTTCCATCGCTGTGAGGACCGTGAAATGACCGTGCAGACAGCGCGCGAGGCGGAGCGGTGACACTCACTCTACCCCGTACGCAGTGGCGCGCCCAGCCCCGCCACGCCACGCGACGTACCGTCACGCCCGTCCCCGTCACGTCGCACAGGAGCCCGCGCGCTCTCGTCTTTTTGTCGCACTGTTTGCGCTGACACCCTGCGCAGGTGGAGTGGCGTGGAGTGGCCGACCCCGCCACCACCCCACGCGGTACGGGGCGCGCGGGGTACACAGCGAGAGGAAAGTACGAGGCGCAGGCGAGAACAAGAAAAGGAGAAAGGAGGGGTGAAAAATCGCCGCGTCGTCGACATGCGCAGCGAATGGAACATTATCCCGAAAACGCCCATCCGATCCTTTTCCAGCAGCAGCTGACGTCTGTCTCCTCGCGAGCATTGACGTGACAACCTGCTCGCCGATTAAGCAAGCTTCTCACACTGACAAACGCGGCAAAACACGAAGAGGATAACAACGGGGCAAACGCATCTCATACAGCAACAAGACTATATGTCGAGTTTCCATCAGACACAAGTTTGTATTGTGAAAGAAATCTGGTTGCTTTACTGTTGCAACTCTTTGCTGTACATCATTGTTAGCGCTCAAGTTGAACGTTCAACATTAAATAATTGCAATGCCAATCAGCAGTGGGAAGGCCTAATACTTGTAGATTTGCGTGTAAGGGCCTACACTTGCAAGCGTTATCTAAGTCGATCCAGGTATGAAGCCTCCTTCCCTCTCTCTCTCTCTCTCTCTCTCTCTCTCTCTCTCTC